AATTCCAGAGGCAGGTTTCCTAGAGGCCCTACCTGAAGGGCCTTGAACAAAGCCTGGTAGGGTGTACGTTCTCAGGGATCTGCTGACGGAATTCTCTCACTGTGCAAACACTGCTTGAGACACTGTCCCTCAGACAGAGAAGGGCCCACAGCTGAAGACCAGGCACGAGTCGCTGCCTCAGCCTGTCCCTTAGGCGCACTTTTATGTCCAGCCTGCACCTCTACCCCGAAGGCTGGCAGGTGCCTGGCTGCTAGGAGTTGGGGGCCTGGCCTGAGCCCGGCTCAGAGTGCTGGGAGACAGCCCCTTTTTTGCCAGAAGAGGGCTTTTTGGCCACGAGTCCATTGTCATCCTTGATCTTTTTGAGCCGGGCCTTGCTCTTTGGTGGGATGGAGAAGGTGAGGGAGCTCTTGTTGAATTCCAGTGGGAAGATACCGACATCTCCATCAAAGCGGTTTTTGGACACCTGCAGGTACCGTTTCCCTGGCCCAGTTACCAGCTTCCTGTCCTGCAGGATCAGAACATTGTCGGCTTCTTGGCTTGCCTGGGGGTTGGAGAACAGAGAAGAAAACAGGGATGGCAGATGAGAGAAGCAGAAAGGAGGGGTGCAGATGCGGTGAGAAGTGGCTGGAAGGGGAGAAAGCACTTTCAGCTATTAGCCACAATGCGGGGCCACTTGAATCAGTTCTGTGACATTCAACCGGTTGCTTCCTCTGCTTCTAACATTCTGTATAGCTACCCACCTCAACATCAACTCGATCAGAGACAATTCTCAGCCTCTCAATAAAGGAGGCCGGGCTTTGCATTTCCACGTGACAGGCAGTCCTCACATTATGAAGGCCTGACTTACAGACCACTCCTACACCCATTGCTATGGTTTCCAGCTCAGAGTAACCCTATACAGGGATTCCAAGGAGGCAAATATTTAACCTGCTTTCTCTTGGGGAATAGCTGGTGGGTTAGAACTGCTGACCATTTGGGCATCCATCCAGTGCTTACTCGACAGTGCCACCAAGGCTTCTACTTGCCCTTCAGTTTGGGGCTTTGAACCAGTTGTCATGGCCAGCAGAGTGAAACAGGTGCCAACCACCAGTCTGACAAACTGGTACAGGAAAAATTCTGGGTCAGAGCCCTGGAATGGAAGACGGAATAGGCACCGCGAGTCCTTCCAGGAGCCTGATGCCTGAGCCCAGTTACTGACAGGACTGGGGAGAGTGCACGTTTAATGTTATGTAAACTTGCCCTAATTTTAAAACAAATGAACCCTTACTGGAGTCTTCACCACAAACACACTCACTTGTTGCAAATGCAGCTTTTAAATCACTGAAGCCTTTTCTTGCAGAATGACCCCATACAGGGTTTCCAAGACCAAAACCTGAAGGGAGTTGACAGCCTCATTCTTCTCCTGAGGATCTAAACTGCTTACCTGTCAACTGGCAACTAAATGTCTACCCTACAATGCCACTGCAGATACCTTCTCTTGCACTAGAGCGATAATAAGAACCATATGCAGCTGTCCCAACTAACCTACAACCTGCTGACACAGCTTGGAATGGTTCTCGCTCATAATCTGGGAACTGCCTTTAATCGTTCCCCTGCTCCTTGTTCAATCCTGGCAGACAGTTTGGGCTCCTCCCCTTATATTCCCTGAGCCAGCCCAGTCTGGTCTGTAATGGACACTCAGTGTACACCTGGAAGCTTCAGAATCAGGCTAGTCCTGCTGCCCAGGCTTCCCATGTTTTGGATTAGCCATCCTATTGTCTTGTCAACGCTCCACCCTATCTCTGTTGATCCCTCTTCTGGGAAGTCTCTTGATGGCCTAGGCTGATTAGGACATTTTCGTTTTGTTTTCTAAATGCCTGTGCTGTCAATCACAGCTCTTATCATACTGAATTAGAATTATTGTCCTATTGTTTCCCAACTTTATAAAGGACAGGCATACATGACCCCCAAGGCCCAAATTCACTGTTCTCAAGCTGATTCCAGCGCATAGTGACCCTATAAGACAAGGCAGAACTAAGCCTGTGGGTTTCCAAGACTGGAAAGTCCTTATGAGAGTAGAAAGCTAGTCTTTCTCCCTTGAAGCAGCTGGTGATTTCGAACTGCTTTGAGATTAGCAGCGTGTATATGTATGTATATATATAAAAATGGAAATTTCCTATGAACTTTTTGAAGCCCCATCCAGCATTCCTCATGTCGTGGTCTCAAAGGCAGCTGAGTTGCGGCTGTCCAAGGTCCCACCTGTCCTCTCCACTCCCCAAAGCTTAGGCTCCAAAGGCCACTCACTTTGGCTGATCCAAAAATGGACGCAGTCTGCAGTTCCTTGTCATCCTCCTCTTTCCGGGGGTGAATGACCAGTGTCACATGGCAGCTATTGTCTGTAGCAAACTTCCGAAAGGCCCCAACGATGGAGTCTTGAGCTGCAATCCTGCCCCCAGCACAAAAAAGAGTTATTAGACAGAGGGGAAGGAACATACACACATTCTTAATCCATCCAGATCTCCCATAATCCACCTAACCCCACTCCACTTCCCTCTGCCTAAGGACTCATTCAGGGTTATGCTGATACTTCCCACAGAGCCCAGAAAATGAGAGTACAGTGTTGTGTGCCTAGAGGCCAGCTGCCTGAGGCGACATGTGCCTTCTAGTGGGTTCCAGTTAGGCCAGGGGAATGTCACCTGTCTGTGGACAGTTGCTCGTGTCCCATCATGAACTGCAGATTGTCAATAACCACGTGACAAATGTCATAGACGTAGACGGCATGCTGCATCGTATCTATTACAGTCCTAGGAAGAGGCAGAGGCAACAATTCAAGAGTTAATTATAGGCACTCTCCAGGCCATCCCAGGCAAACGAGCCAGCATCTTGAAAACTCTTGCCAGGGACTAGCTCCTTAGAGAACCCTGCGCCTGAAGATGTAATTGTTTCCCAGGAAGTCAGAAAAGGAACCAAAGGTCCTGAGTGCTGGGGCGTGTCTGGGAAACTCACCTGATGCTTTGCTGCCCGTGGAAAGTCATGAAGTAAAGGGGCAGGTCCTCAAAGCGGTCGGCCCATTCGTCGTATTTGTCCAGCTGCTCTTCCAGCCGCCCCACTGCAAACTGTGTCAGCATGACCCGGGCGAGTCTCACGTTGCTGATCTCAAAGCTCCCCCAGAGTGTGTTCACCCCCTGGGTACACAGATCCAGGGCGTACTCACTGATGAACGTGGTCTTCCCACTGCCCGTTGGCCCTGAAGGAGAGGTGAGAACAGACCTGAGTGACGGAGGAAAGTCCTGGCCTTCCCATTACCAGAGACAGGGCGCCAAGGTGAGGAAGGGAACCCCTCTCTTCACCATCAAGCAACCCCCAGCCACATGCCTGTCGACCCTAACAGTAGTTTCCCAAAGGGTCACCTGTGAAGACTGTCAGCTCCCCCTTCCGATGTCCTTTCAAGAGACGATTGAGGTCCGGAAAGCGGCTCCAGCGGACGCCAGCCACTTGTTCCACGTTGGAAAGTTCTCCTAGCACCTCCTCCCGAAGCTGCCGGAAGGACACAATAGACTTGTGCCAGGCAGGCAGGGCAGTGCGCAGGATACGGGAGAGATTTAAGGCCCGGTTCAGGGCCTCCAGGGGACGGGGCTGCTGTTCCCCTGGCCGCACCATAGAGCATCGCTTAGGGTTCAGTTTTCGGGCAAACAGCTTGGCAGCTTCCCAGGACCGGAGGTCATCGCCCAGCCAGAGCACGATCCGCCTGAACTGTTCAAGGTAAGGGAGTAAGGCAGGGGGTAAGCAGGTCGTTCCCCTGGGTAGGGCAAGGGTGGGCAGCCCCGTGGATTGGTGCAAAGCCAGGCTGTCCAGCTCACGGCTAGTCAGGATCACCTCGACATCTCGGCGAGTGATGAGCGGGAGCCCAAACAGATTGTGGTAGGCCCCAGGCCGGGGAAAGGTAGTCTCCACATAGCGCACTTCATCCCCCTGGCCCTCAGCCCCTACAAGCTTCAGGCCTCGTAATCCCAGGCTTCCCGGGAAGAACCAAGGAAAGACCAAACTGCGGGCAGACCGTAGATACCGCACACCAAAACGCTTCAGTGTGTCGTCTGTCACCTTGGTGAAGCCAAACATCAAGCGAGCCAGCTGGGCTTCCTCTGGGTCAGGCAGTTCCCAGAGAGGTATGGCTCGGTCCCAGATTCTCCGGACCTCCTCACTGTCCACGGCTTCGGGGGCCTCACTAAGCAGGAGCCCCTCCTTCGTTGCATCTCCTCGCCCTTCCACACTGGCTTGGAAGTCTTCCCAACTGCCCTCCGCCAGGCTGGCCATGCAGAGGAAGCGGCCTGTGGTCTTGTCAATGAAGAGGCCCAAGGAAGGGCCGACACCTGCCTGGTCCTTGTGCCTTGAGGGTGCTGCAAAGGGGCTGGGTGCCCGCAGGCAGCTGTGACCATCCTGGAAGGGGATCCCATGGGTCCGCAAATACTGGCGGATCTCAGTCACAGTTACAGGCAACAGTGGGGCATCTAGGGATGGAAGAGCCTCTTTCCTGTACCTTCGGCGAGGAGATCCTGGGACCAAGCTTCGGGGCAGGCCCCTGCGACCCATCCACTCCCCACGCAGGGGCAGCAGGGTCCGGAGGGGGTATCCACCTCGGAGGAGGACCCACATTCTTGGTCAGAAGGTGGGGGTGCCCGCTTGAAAAGCCTGAGGGGCCGGGTTCGGCTACCTCCACTTGGCCAGGCTGGGGAGCGCCCCCCTACAAGCACTCTGCAGAGCTCCCAGCAGTTGGCTTCTTCCGATTCTCCAACTTGGTCCAGCTCAAACTTCCCTCGAGACACTCTTCAGCCCTCTGCATCATACTTCACACCGATGCGCCCCACTCGGGCCTTCCACGTCTGGCCTTGGTTGCTCAGAGGGGATGCGGGCTCATGTCGCCACATGGTGCGGAGAACTGCCAAAGGTTGTCAAAGCGTGGACCTTTCACAAGGCCGGTCTCCCTAGGGTCCTCTGGATGGGTTCCCACGTGCAACCTTTCTAGCTGGTCTGGGCCACCCCAAGACCGCTTCTGGCACGTCTAGGTCCCTCTATATGGCTTCCCTACCTCTACGATCCCTTTGCAGCTTCCCTCTCCGCCACTTCGCCTCTAGGACCCTCCACCACGCTCATCACCACGGTCTCCCCACATGCTCATCTCTTCGCCTTTAAGGTTCCCCTCCGGAATCTCCTGGCGCCCATCGCTACCGACCAACCCACGAAGCCATCTGCATCCTGGGTGCAAGCCCCTCCGCTCTAGGCGCCTCACTAGAGCGTCTTGGCGGCTCCTTCCCCTCAGTCGAGCCTTTGCTCCCGGACCGTCTGCACCTCTGAGCCGCAAGGGACGTCCACCTTCCTACCGACCCCCGGGGCCGCCCCCGCTTTCCGACGACTGGCAGCTCCGCGGCTCCGAGTCACAAGGGGGGCCCCTCACGCCCGGCGCCAGCAACGTGGGGGATCCGCACGCGCCACTCTCCTTGACCCCGGAAGCAAAACTTCGGCCGGGCGGCTCGGAACCGGAAGCGCCTGGGCTGAGCCCCGCCCCCTCCCGGCTCGGCGGGCCACCAGCGGTCGCCATGACGGCGCGTGGGACTGCCAGCCGCTTCCTCACGAGCGTTCTCCACAACGGCCTGGGTCGTTACGTGCAGCAGCTGCAGCGTCTCAGCTTCCGTCTCAGCCGCGACGGGCCCTCGTCCCGCGGAGCCAGGTGAGCCGGCGGGGACGGGCGGGGAGACGCCCCGGCGGAGGCGGGCCCGGCTCTGGGGCCTCCCCGCTCACTGTCGGCCGCCCTCAGGGAGTTCGTGGAACGGGAGGTGACCGACTTCGCCCGGCGGAACCCAGGGGTCGTGATTTACGTGACCCCGCGGCCGTGCTGCGTGCCCACAGTGGTGGCGGAATACCGTGAGTGGGCCGGGCCGGGCGCGGAGCGGGGGCGGGCCGGGGCGGGCGGGCGCGCGCCCTGGGCTCACTCTCCGGTCCCGTCCCGCCAGTGAACGGGGCCGTGCGCGAGGAGAGCGTCCACTGCAAGTCCGCCCCGGAGATCGCCGCGCTGGTGCAGAAACTGGCCAACCAGTCGGGCCTCGAAGTGATCCGCATCCGCAAGCCCTTCCACACGGACAACCCGAGTGTGCAGGGCCAGTGGCACCCCTTCACCAACAAACCGACCGCGCCCGGCCGGCTGCGCCCCCGCGAGGCCGCGCCAGCCCAGGGGTCAGCGCAGTGACAGCGGCCCCTCGCGCGCGGGCTCTTCCGGCACGCAGAGGCGACCCTCCCGCCCTCTTGGTTTAAGGGATGCTGTGCCCAAGTCGCCAAACGGAACCCTGTACGCAGAAGGAGACGCCAAAGCTTCCTGCCTGGGGCCTGGGATACAGTTGGTGGCTTCTTTCCAGGGCAGTGACGGAAACCCCGTCCACCTGGCATCTGTGAAGTTTCCAGGAATTTTAAAAGGCTCACGTTTACCGAGATCCAAACCGATAATGGTGGTGTCATCTCAAAATATGGTCAGGGGCTCAAGCTTGGATTTTGAAGAACCTCGTTATTTTGCTGCAACCATTGAGCCCCCGAGAGCTAGCACCTTATTCTCAGCTGTGAACCTGGCATGGAGCTAGGCGCTTTATACATGTGAATGTGAGAAAATGGAGGTTAATAAATTTGCCAGCATCTCACCCGGGGTCTTCCTGCAAAACGAGTGCTGTTTTTAACAGGAATCGAAGTGTCTTTTTAAAAAAAATCATTTTGTTGGCTTACACAGCTCTTATCACAATCCATACATCCATCGTTTGTATAAAGCATATTTGTACATTTGTTACCCTCATCATCCTCAAAACATTTGCTCTCCACGTAAGCCCCTGGCATCAGCTCATTTTCCCCCTCCCTCTCCTTCGTGAACCCTTGATAGTTTGTAAATGATTTTGTCATATCTTACACTGTCCGACATCTCCCTTCACCCACTTTTCTGTTGTCTGTTCCCCAGGGAGGGGGTTCTATGTAGACCCTTGTAATCGGTTCCCCCTCTACCCAACCCTCCTTTTACCCTCTCAGTATCACCACTCACCACTGGTCCTGAAGGGATGGATCATCCACCCTGGATTCTCTGTTTCCAGTTCCTATCTGTACCAATGTACATCCTCTGGACTAGCCAGACTTGCAAGGTAGAATTGGGGTAATGATAGTGGGTGGGGAGGAAGCATTTAGGAACTAGAGGAAAGTTGTATGTTTCATTGCTACACTGCACCCTGACTGGCTCGTCTCCTCCCCATGACCAGGCGATGTCCAGTTGCCTGCAGATGGGTCCCCATTCCGCACACCCCCAGGAATAGTTTCTCAGTTTTCTAAAACCCAAAGCAGAGCATCTCAGCCCTTTCAGGGTGGTTAGTGTCCAAAGCTGTGCAACTAACGTGGGCCTGACCCCCAGAGGGCATGATTCTCAGGCCAAGTCCCAGATAATAAGCATTTGTGCCCTCCAGTTGTCCTGCCCCTCTAGACAGGCCCCTCTTTGTTCAGAAATGAATCAGTGGCTTTCCTTGTGGGATGCAGGGGCTTGAAAAGCTGCTGGGGGAAGATCAGGAGAGCAGGTAAATAAAGGAGTATCCTCCAGGCTTGGCAACAAAGGGCAGAGGGGAAAAGAACCAAACCAGAGAAACTAGCCACCTTCTGTGAATTGAAACTTGTAGCTCCTCTGTCATACCCTAAGGCCCATGGCCAACAAATAGGGAGCCCAGGTGGAAGGTGAAGGTCCCAGCTTCCTCTGTAACTGGTCCTGGGGGGAGCACAAGCCGGAGCCTCAAGTCTTGCCTGTTCCTTGGCTCAGAGGCTGGTCTACCAGCGACCAGGGAAAAGCAAGTCAGACCAGTCAGACCACTCACAGCTGTGGGACAGGGAGGCTTTATTAACTGACAACGGAGGAGGAGTAGAGCCCAGGCTCCCCACTGTCACATGCCTGTTTCACCCCCCTGGATGGTGAGTGGGGCATTCCTAAAGAAGGAGAGCCATTCTCACAATAACGACATTCATTGGGGTGGGGGTCGGGCAGGTGGGAGAGATGGAAGGGCAGTAAAAATCCGTGGGATCCCACGTTCTCAGCTACAAAAATAACAGTCATCCTCACCCAAGGGGGGCTGGGGGAGCTCAGTCGGGATTTGATTGTCCCATATGGGCTTGGAAACCTCTGAAACCCCTGGGCCCTGAAAGTGCCCCGGTGAGGTAGGACAGGGGCGGGAGCCAAGCATCCAAACTCCCAGCCTCTGCCCTTTGCATAGTTCCAAGAAAGGGCTTCATGTGCCAGGGGACGTCAGATTGCTCCTCCCTCCCCCTGCACTGGTCTCGGGTAGCAAATGCTTGAGCTCCGAAAGGGAGGCTGGCTCATTGAGTGCAGTGTTGGTCACCCGCCCTAGGGAAGGGTCTGCAAGGACAGTTAAACAGGAGGGGACCTCCTTCTGATATGTCCCTGGACCAAACCAGACAGACACTTCTGTGGTGGCAAGGGGTGGCCCCAAAGGTACACGTGCGTGTTAATGTAAGCACGTTGTGGTACATACAATGTGTTCCCACGTGTATGTGAGGAAAGGACATGCCTGGAGCTGTCGTCACTTGAGAGTGACCAAGGGAGGTGGGGAGGCTGAAACGGGTGCACAGGAAGGGAGAAGAGGGGAATGAGGCAATGCTGTCTGCCCTTGGCAGGCTGGCCTGTGCCCAAGCTCTTGCCAGAGGTCACCACATGGAGCTGGGACTGGAGGAGGGAATGAAAGGATGAGATGTGGCAATTGTGAGGGCACCCAAAGTCCAGAGGGTGAACCCAAGAACACAGGAGAAGGCAGGGTGGGGGCGCTGCAGCCGGCAGGTAAGACAGACGGTCTTCCATGTGCACATTTGGGTAGACAGGGCTCATCTATCTTCAGGACCATCCAGCACACAGGGCCATGCAGAAGTTGGTGACACGAGGCCATCCGGACCCGCACAGCCCTGCCTGAGAAAAAGGAAGGGTTTGGGCAGGGGGATGGCCGCAGCTCCTCCAGAGGGGCCTTGGGTTAAGGGCCAGGCACCAGGGTTGGGTCTTGGGAGCACCTACCTCAGAGGAGCACCGGTGGGCCTGGGCTGCCGACACACGGGTGTGAGGAGGGGGTGGGGGGCGGGCTTTGGCTGGACCTGATTGGCCAGCCCTACAGGAACACCAAAAAATTGGGAGAAGGGTCTGGCGCAGGGGGTGTGAAGGATGGGTGGCCACATGGACTGGGGAGGCGTGCCCGGCCTGGAGCTGACAGCCTGGCGGGCCGAGCATTTGTCCGGACAGGCTCAGACGGAGCTCTCATCCAGCTGCTCCACCAGCTGCGTGTGCTTCCTCTTCTCCAGGATCCGGCTGAGCTCCTCAGCAAAGGAGCAGGGGCCTGCCGGCACACCGTTGTCACTCTGCCTCAGGAGCACGTAGCTGCTGCCGTTCATCCTGCGCAGCCGGCTGGGCAGGGCCACCAGCCCATTGGTCAGCTCAGCCGGCGGGGGCGGCGGGGGTGGGGGGGGTGGGGCTGGGGCTCCCTCCCCAGGGATGATCTGGAGGCAGCTGCCCTCCAAGCCCCCAGCCCCCTCTCCATCATCACCCTCATCTTCCTCCCCAGGACACTGGCCGGAGACTGTCTGCAGCTGCACGGCAGAACCCCCGGGGCGGCCGGCCCGGCCCAAGGAGTATTTCCGTCGGCGCCGCCCTCGCTGCTGTCCTCCCCGCAGACAGGCCACATAGAGGAGGGAGGAGGCCAGGACGAGGCAGAGGCCACCAAGCGCAGCAATGGCTAGCACATAGAGCAGTCTCACATCTGGGGCCAGTTGGGCCTCAGGGGTGGACGGGGCCTGGGGGGCCGGGGCCGGGGTGGCCGGCCGGACCATGAGGCTGTAGGAGGCCAGCAGGGTACGGAGGCCGTTCTCCTCAGCGTAGCAGCTATAGTTGCCACTGTGCTCGGGTTGCGTGTCTGTCACCAGCAGCCCATCCACGCCCACACGGTAGCCAGCCTGTCCGTCACTCAGGCCCCTGGTCCCATTGAGCAGCCACAAGGCCCGGGCCAGGTTGGACGGCTGGTCACAGGGCAGCAGGACATCGTCACCCCGGAGCACAGAGCGGGTCCTCAGTGGCGGTGGTGGCCCTGGGAGGAGGTTTAGGAGGAGAGGTCAGAGCCTGCCTATCCTGGAGGGGGGGACAGTGGAGATGGCAGGCCAGATTGTCCACAGCTGAGTCTACTGCACCAGTACCTGGAGGCCCAGTGACAGCGGACAAAGCACTGTCCACACATGGCACCAAGTCAGGTTCACACTGACCCTGTGCAACTCGAGGCTGGCAGGGCCTCGGGCCTCTTCTCTCTTGCATCTTCAGTTCCTGCCATCTGGTAGCCACTCTCCAGACTTCCTCCAGCACAGTTACTCGCTGCTGAGTGCCAGGCTGGACCACCTCGCCCGTGTTGAACATCTCCACATGCAGTCTCTGAGGCGCCTCAAGCAGAGACTGGAGTCTCCCGCCAGCTCTTGGCCCAGGACTGCCTCTCTCCGTGAATGTCACCACCAGAACTCCATTACTTAAGCCAGGAACCTGAGGGGTCTCCCTGGCCTCCTCTTTCCACCTCCTCTTCTTATCCAACCCTCCCCAAGACTCTGTTTCTACAGTCTCTCAGACCTGTTTGCTTCTCTCCTTCCATAGCTTCCAGCAGCACTTGGGTCCCATCTAATCCAGTCTCCTTACAGCTGGGAAGCCCTGTCTTACAAACACTGACCATCCGGGTCTTGGCTCTCCTGCCTCGAGCTCCTTAGAGATTTCCTGTCGCTGTTCAGATGAAGATCAGACTCCCCAAATGATTCCTGCCTGCTGACTTAGCCTTGTCTCTTGAGGCTCAAACACCCTAAGACTTTTCTACTTGGGTGCTGTTCCCCCACCCCAAGCCCTCCACTGGCCTTATTATCAGTCTAGCAGCTCATAGGAATTCAAAGCACAAACTCTGGAGTTGCTCCTCTTGGGGTCAGGTTTGAATTCTGACCCTGCTGCCTAGTAGTGCTGATTAACTTTGGGCAGTTTACGTAACGTGCTCAGGGCGGTTGCCGCTCATGGGGACCTCTCTCTAGGACTGATAGGTGTAGTGATAGTAAGGCACCTAGCTCTAGGAATGCGGCAAGGATAAATGAGATCAGGCATTTAAGCATTCAACCAGGCCCTGGCACTCAGTATCCGTAGTAAACAGAGTCCGTTAGGAACATGAACATTCACTTTTCCTCAAGTGTCAGCTCAGTCATCAGTGCTTCCTAAGGTAAGTGCCCATTAGCTTTCTGAATACTTATCAGAGTTGTAATTATTATTTTTGTGATTCAAAAACATTTCAAATTAATTACAGTTGATTATTTGTGTGAACATTTGATTGCCGCCTACACCACCATGGAAGGGACCAGACACTTCTCCTCTCGGCCCTGTCTCCTCTTGCCAAGGTTGGTTGAGCACTTAGGATGTGCCAGGCTCTGTGCTAGGGGCTGCAGATCCAGAGGTGTCATGGGGCTGACAGGGGACACAGTTGGCTCAGAGTCCTCCACTCTGCTCATCCGTTACCACTGCTCACTCTCCAAAAGCACTCCAACCACCAACCTGAAAGAGGACAGGCCCACACCCATCCCTGAGTGCCACTGACCTGCGTCCCTGCTGCCCTCACAGCCTCGGTTTCCTCTCTCTATGTCCTGGATCAGTGCCGTCCTAGAGACAAAGGATTGAGATCCATGAATGGTTTCCCCTGGGAGAAGTCACAACAGGCTGTGACCGACTGCTCTCCACTCCCCCCTCCACATAGCAGGGCTTCCGTCCCTCAGGCCCCAACCCCTTGGCAGAAAGGACCCGTTGCCACCATCTTCCCCCTTCTATCTGACACCTGTTGGCTATGGTAGTGGCTTCAACACAGCCATGGGTGCTGGGGTCCCAACCGCAGTAGGGGTCTCGGGCCAGGATGCAGTCGTAGCAGGAGCGGTAGCGGGAGCAGGTGGACAATGGGAGCTGGAGGACTCCATTAGCGGCTCCCACGTACAGGCTGTGCTGGGAGCCAGAAAGGACAGCTGGTCGGCCTCTCCCCCACGCCCAGCCACTGCCCAGTCTCCCATTCCAGAAGGTCTTACTGAGTGAGGGTCAGGGGATACCTGTGTTGGAGAGATGACCAGATTCTCCACCGGCTGGGCCTCCCTCAGCACCTGTGTCTCTTCGATGATGTGCATTCCAGAACCCAGGACCACGGCCTTGTGGATCCAACCATCAGCTGGCATGGAAAGGGCAGAGGGACAGGTCAGACCCACCCCCACAACAGGCCCGTCAAGAGCAGCTTGGTTGTCCTGGGGTCAGGGACAAAGAATCGGCCAGTAGCAGTGGGCCCTCAGGACATTGGGAACTCTAGGTTAGCGATGGCAACAACTACTGGGTTCAGAAGCATAAGGGTCCAAATTCAGGTTAAATGTCATGGTGGCTGGTGACAGGAGCTAACAGTCACCAAGAGTCAGTGGTCACCAGGGGCTGAACGTTCAATGAAGCATCAACATGGTGGCCACCAGAGTTCTGTGATAAAGGGTGATCTAGTAGTTACGCATCGGGCTGAGAACCCCAAGGCCAGCAGTTAAAAACCACCATTTGCTCCAAGGGAGACAGAGTGGGCTTTCTACTGCCAAAGAGTTACAGTTTCAGAAACTCGCAGGGGCAGTTCTACCCTGTCCTATAGGGTCGCTATGAGTTGGAATTGACTTGATGGCAGTGAGTTTGGTTTGAGGGATCACGGGCCAGCAGTCACCAGAGGGCTTGGGCCAGGGGTCAGAGAGCACCTGTGCCCAGAAAGAGCAGGTCATAGGTGGGTCCGCCAGGCGTGGTGACGGGTGTCCCTGTGAGGTGTGTGTAGCGCACACTGTGCTTCAGCAGCAGGGGCCGTCCTCGTGCGGGCACCAGAGGCCGGGCCATCAGAGGGTGAAGCTTCACAAAGTCCAGGACCAGGGAAGGCAGGTCCCGGGACGAGTTGTAGCCTCGGCTGCGCAGCGAGTTTGTGATGCACTGTCGGTGGGGATGGGGTGGTGAAACTCGGGACTCCACCACTTGTCTGCCCTCCCCACCAGCCCAGCCCCAGCCCCTGCCCTGAGTGCTCACCGAGCCTGGCCGAGGCTCGGGTACGCCACCGTCGTAGCGGCCCCAGCGCCGGGTGCCATCCTGGTACTCCATGAAGGGGCCCGTGAAGACGGTCTGTATCTCGGTCAGGTCATAGCGACAGATGGCTGAGGCCTCCAGGGTCTTCCTAGGGGCGAGATGTCAGGAGGGGAGGGGACTGAGTCACACTGCGTGGAACCTGGTCCCTGTACTGAGCCTGGGATCCACTTTTACCCTGGACAACCCAGCCCCAGATCTGTGGCTTAGCAGTCCTCTGTGCCCCTGGCCCAGGCAAGCTGGCCAGGCCTGAAACTCTCTACAGCCGGGCTGATCTCAGCCTCCGTAACCTCAGGTGAGTCCACTAACTGACTTCTCCACTGTCTCCGACCCCTGACCCCCACCGTTCCTGTCTTCTTTCCCACTGTTCCTGCACTGACCACTGTGTGGTCAGTGTGAAGGCCGCATAGAAACGCGAGCGGGTGGAGGCAGCGGCATCCAAGCTGCAGACAGCGCGCAGAGTCTCATACTGCGGGATGTGGCAGATCAGTCGCGCCTTCAGAAAGGACGTCCACTTCTTCTGCAGGATCTTCTTACCGCCCATGTCTCCCTGGGGAGGAAGGACACAGGGTGATTGATGGCTCAGAGCCCAAGATCCAGCTTGGCCATCCTTGCCCTGGCCTCGGGCCCTACCTACCTTGCAGACACGGGCCACCCGGGCTACCCGGTGGCTGCTGCGGCTCTGGGTGAAGCTTCCAGAACCCTCCTCGGTGGCCCGCTCGGTGAAGAAGTAGTAAACCTTGTCATCGTCCCCCACCGCACTGGCCTCGCTCTCCCGCACCAGCACGGAGAACACAAACTCAGCATCTGTGGGCAGGGCAATTCCGGGGGCTTGTGGGACAGGCAGGGGCTCTTCCTCCCCTCCCCTCCCCCACCTGATAGCCCCCCCGGAATGAACAGGCCCACCCGAGGCTTTGGAGGTGGAGTGGTCAGGGGGGCAGGGGAGGCAAGGAGTTAGCGTCCCCTGCCAACGCTCCTCCGGGCCTCGCCCTTCTAACCATTCAGCCAGTGCATCGGGGCCTCTTCGGTCTTCAGCGAGTGGGGGTGGCGGCTCCGGCGGATGTCAGGAATGCTCCGGAATTCATAGCGTGTGGCCGTGTAGAGACCCCCATCTGGGGCAGGGGAGCACCAGGCAAGAGGGAAACAGAACATATGACCCTACCAGCAAGCTCCACCCCGCCCCGCTCCCTGGCCCCTGGGCCAGCAGGGCGGGGACTTACCGATGATGAGACCAGTGAAACCACGGGCGGGGTCATAAGGACACTTCTCTCTGCCCTCTTCGAAGGTGGCCGGCAAGGTGAAGGCCTGGGCATCCTAGGCAGGAGGGGGCCGGAGCAGTCAGTGGTCCCGGGGACCAGCCTGCGCTCGGGGCCTAGGCACTGGCATGGGGGCTGGGGCAGGCGCACTCACGATGGCGGCGCAGAGCGGCTGGAAGGCGTGCGTCCCGCACGTGTACAGGTGGGTGGCGTTGAGGCGCTGTAGGACCCGCACGTGGTTGAAGCATTCCGTCTGCGGAGGAAGAGAACCGACTCCTCGCTGGAAACTGCTGCTGTGTGAGAGGCTCGGCCTTTCCCTCTGTCCCCTGGGTAGATGTCACAACTCGGCCAATTTCTCTTCCCACCTCTCCATCCATCCCTCAGGAACTGCTGGCGTGCTTCCCCTCTCCACCACCCCAGACCCGGAGCTCCTGAGGCCCTGGGGGCAGACCACCAATCTAACCCCAGACTCCAGCCCGCTCCCCACTGAAATCCCACAGACCCACCAGGCTCACCTTGGTGACCAAGCCCATCACCTCCTCCTTCACCGACACCTTCCCCTCAACCTGTCCATCCAGTCTTCCCCACTGGCTCAGTCCTTCCACAGATCCTGTTACTCAGTCCAGGAATGGGAGTCGGCTCATGCTTCCCTGTCCCTCACCCCCACAGCCTGGCCCTCTCCTGGAGGAAGTCTTCACCCCAGTGCCTCCTGACTTGACCTCCTTCGCCTTCTCCACGACCACCACCCCAGGCCAAGTCACCACCAACACTCGGCCCACTGCGGCCGCCGGACGCCCAGTGGCTCTGCTGACCCTCTGCACTCTTTTTAGAACCACTTTCCTGATTTAAAAGGGAACGAGGCGGGCATGCACACCGACACAGAGGCACAAAGGGACGTGTGGTAAAGATCAAGTGTCCCTTCTTCTTCCACGCCCCCGGCTCCCCTGGTGAGTGTTTCAAAGGTGACCGCTGCTTCTTCAGCCCACTTGCCAGGGCATATTTTTAAAATGTAAAGAGATCACATCCCCGCATTTATTTATTAACTTTGCATTGTGAACTAGGGGAGGTTTTCACGTCACTATATTGAAAAGGCCCTTCGTGGCTCACTAGGGCCCTGCCAGGAGCACCTCTCATGCTGCTGGTGCTGAGCTTCTTTCTCTAGCCTTCCCCCATGCCTCTCCCCACACCGCAGGACCCCCCAAACCCAACTCTGGCCACATTAGGCTCTGCCTACCAAAGGCCTTGATCTGCTGCCCTCTGGACTTCTCTGCTTCCTTAACAATGCCTCCTGCTGCCTGCTAGCCAGGGCTGAGTCCATGAAGGCTTGGCCTCTTCTCCTCCGCTCCGCCCGGCAGCCCTTTCCCTTCTTGGCTCTGCTCAGGCTGTCTCACTTCCCTACTGCTCTTTTTGCTCCCAGACAGAGGCTGGACAAGATTCCATAGTGTTTCCCCAAGGGTGTTTACGTTTTTTTAAAAAAGAAAGAAAATGAGAAAAGGGGTGTGGATTCTATGGTCATACAAGTTTGGAAAGCACCAGGTAAAACCTATCTAAACTGAAGGACTTTTCAGAGCCTCAAGGATCTTGCTGTGCATTGTGGGATTGAGCATGTTGTATGTCCCCAACTAATCTCACCGATTAATTAAAGCCCTCTTAGGAAAATTACCGTTCCTCAGAACATTGCTTTAGGCTACGTTCTCCTAAAGCCTTCTACCCAAAGAGTGGTCTGGAGACCAGGAGCACCAGCTTTGCAGCGAGGGTGTTAGAAACGCAGAATCTAGGCCCTTCCCCAGGCCTACAGCCTTAGAAGCCTTTACAGCATTTTGGAAGCCCCTATACCCTGGTGCCATAGTGGTTACACATTGGGCTGCTAACCATCAGGTCAGCAGTTCGAAACCATCATCTGCTCTGTGAAGAGTTAGTCTCCAAAAGTACAGGGGCAGTTCTAACCTCACCTATAGGATTACTATGACTCAGTGTCAACTCGATGGTGGTGAGCTGTTTCGGTTTATATCCCTCGGTATTTTCAATCGCCTCGTAGGCATGTGAAAGCTGGACATTGACTAAGGAAAGCCAGAAGAAACCCGCTGCACCTTACTCATGGTGCTGGTGAAGAATACTGCAGGTACCGCGGACTGCCAACAGAACAAAGAGATCTGGACGAAGTCCAGCCAAAAGCGCCTTAGAGGCAAGGGTGGTGAGACTTGAGTTCACATACTTTAGACATGTTATCAGGAGAGACCAGTCTCTGGAAAAGCACATTTGTGCTTGGTAGAGGGCAGAGACCAAGAATATTGGCAAGACAGATGGGCACAGTGGCTGCAACAATGGATTTAACTAAACATTATGGCGAGCACGGACCAGGATGAGGTGGTATTTAATTCAGTTGTATGTAGGGTTGCTATGGGGAGCCTTGGAAACAGGTATTTTAAAGGGATCCAATGGATCCCTTACATAGCCAGACATGGAACCCCGCCCAATACACTGGTCGCACCAAGGCTGGTGTCACGCATGGTGGTCACTCATGGGGTCCTGCCCCACCATGGACCTCCTCTCAGCAGGCCATGCAGAATCTTTCTCGAGTTCACGCAGGCTCAGAGCAGCCCTGTAGGACAGGGTCAAACAACCCCTGTGAGTTTCTGAGACTGTAATTGTTTACAGGCAGAGGAATCCCTGTGGCATAGAAATCCCTATCTTTCTCCCACAGAGTGGCCAGTGGTTTCAAACTGCAGACCTTGCGAATCGCAGCCTCAACGTGTAACCACTACGTCACCAGGGTTCCTAGTATGGAATCCCTGATAATGTTTATTATCAATTTTAATCACCGAACAGCATATTAATAAATGTTGCTATAAATTGCTCAAACATCCTGTTTCTTGGAGTACATGAAGAAAGAGTTTTGTACAGGCATTTGGCATTGAATCACATTAGTAGTAACTGAGTGAAAGTCTATTTTGACTTTTCTCCTCATTTTCAAAACAGTCGTTAGGTTCACACATACCGATTACCACAATAGTACAGCCTAAGCACCAGAGAATGTGTCAAAAACAGCGACCGTAAAGACAGTGGCAACAACACAAACAACCGTGCATGTGGACAAAACTGCCTCACACTGATGGGAGTCGCCATCCCATGAGGGTAGAGGGAAGCTGGGGGGAGAAAAGGGGACCCGATCACAATGATGGATGTATAACCCACCCTCACCCCTACCCCCGGGTGACAAACAACAGAAACATGAGTGAAGGGAGACAGTGTAAGATATGAAAATAATAATAATTTATCATTTGTCGAGGGTTCATGAGGGTGGGAAGGTTGGGGAGGGAGGGAAAAAATGAGGAGCTGATACCAAGGGCTCAAGTAGAAAGAAAATGTTTTGAAATGATGGAAGCATATGTATAAATGTGTTTAACACAAAGGATGTATGGATTGTTATAAGAGCTGTAATAGCCCCCAATAACATTATTAAAAACAAACAAACAAAAAACCCCCATCGTTGTCATGATTAATAATCATAGCTCCGACCACAGCGCATTGGAAGACTCCAAGAGTAAGATCCCCTTGCAGAGGGGTCTTGGGGAGGAGAGGAGCCAGTCAGGGTGCGATGTAACAACGATGAGAAATACAACTTTCCTCTAGTTCCTAAAT